AAAAAAAAAAAAAAAAAAAAAAAAAAAACACATCATAGTAAAATTAATACCTTCTCCGCTTCGCATCGAAGCTAAAAAATAGATTTTAAATGAAACATATTTAATTAAGATATAACAAAGTACAGCAAAATTTTGTCAAATATATATAACTCACTGAAAAGGTCAATCATTTAAAAAGAAATATATGGAACAAAAATGTATTGCTTAAAAAACATTTCAGATATTAACAAAAATAAATACTTTTGATAAAAAAAAAATTATAACAGAACTGATTACACGTAAATAGATAAAAATATTTTTATCATTTGATAAGCAAAAAATTGCTTAATAAAATTTAAAACTGAATAAATCATAAAAGTTTTATTTAATTAAAAAAAATAATAATGGCATTGGAATGTATTAATGAAAGTACTTTATAAATAAACATTTAAAATAAAAATTCAAAAATATTTGCCATCGTATTTAAAATATTTAAGTTATACGACTTTAAATAATCTTCAATAATTGGCTCATTGAATTCATCAATAACCATAATATTATCATTTTCAACGTTTATGAGATTTTCAGTATGTGAAATTCTGCTGAAGTCATTGTCAGATTTTTCCGAATCTAAACTGCTTATATTCCAATCATCATTGACCAACATCTGTGATACATAATTTTCAAACGGTTGAATGGGAATATTAATTTCCGTATTGTCAGAATCATTAAGAACCATTCATGTCAAATCAATTAAGAGTCATATCCGGAATCAAAATATTCATGATCATTCTCGACATAATCATCATCTTCAACGACATCATCGAAGTCCATTTGATAACTCATTATGTCATCTTCTTCAGAAAAACTGTCATCAATGTTTTCAACATTGTCATGCTCATCCAAGGTATTCAAAATGACAGGAAGTTGTTGATGAATGACATCAATTGAGCTGTTTCTTTCTAAATAAATGTGGTCATCAATTTGATATTCTTGTTTATCGTACAAGTCAGATGAATCGTAACCATTTTCTTCTGACAACAACGAAGAGGAAAATTCTTCGGAGTTCGTGTTAGATATCTTATGAAAGGCTTCATAAGTATGTTCATTATCATCATCCAAAGAAAAGCTACGCATAACGACTGGAATACGTTCAGGAACATGATCGTTCTCTTCAACTTGACCATCACAGTATATTTCCAACATATTGGACTCCGATTCATGGCATTTTTCTTCTGTACATGATGAAGTGGAATTTTCTTCGGAGTTCATATTTATTCTATTGTATATGATCTCGTCGTGAAATATTTCTTCATTATTAACTAAACTGAAGGTATCCAAAATAATCGGGTTTTGTCCAGAAAAATTAATGTACCCGTTTTCTTCAACTTGACAATAATCTTCTTGCGAATTGCTCACAACTGAACTAAAAGTTGTTGAATTAACGTTACTTTGATGATCCCAACATCTAATTTTTTAATCATAGTTAAAATTAAATTCTTTTAAAAAAAATGCAAATTTTATTTTGCAGCGTATTAAAAAAAAATATATAAAAGTAGTTAAAATAAAGTTGTTTAAATTAATAAAAAAAAAAAATCTATCAATAAATTAAAATATCAATATTAAATGTAAACTTAAAAAAAGCTGACTTAAAAAAAGTTGAATTTTAAAAATTTTACTTTCTTTCGGAAAACTAAATAATTTAATAAATTAATATATTTACGGGTTTTTTTTAGCTCTCTGATATTCATTGTAATCGTCGCTAATTTTTCTTTTAGAACTAGACTGGCCAGCACTTGTATCAATTATACACTTTCCAGTTGCTAACTTCTTCGGCGGTGAATTTAATGTTGTAGTTTCATCGTCATTGTTTACTTTTCTTTTTCCATTAGAATGGTCAGTTTTCGGATCAACTGAATTATGTTCACTAGAAATATTGTTTGACTGTGAGTTCGAGGCTAACGATTCATCCTCGTCACATTTTCTGTTTTTCATGTTTGGCATTATGGATAAAACGTAATGATAACTTGAGTAATCTCAAAACTTTATGCAATTTACGATAATTTAGAAAACTATACAAGAAATTTACGTACTTAAACACAAAATCTCTTACTTACAGACAACTGAACGGAAAAATTAAATTTCTTTTTCTGTTTAGATTATACTTTACTGTTGTCAGAGCAATAAAAATATTAATCTATATTTTAACCAATATTTATTTATATAAATTCTTAAAATAAATTAATGAACAATTTCCCTATTCTAACGAATGAATGTTTTCTTTCGAATTGAATTGAATATTATTAAATTAAAGTTTTAAAGTAACTAAGAGTTGCATTTGATAATTATTAGATTTTATAAAAAAAAACAAAACAATATTCACGTAGGTTGTGTTTTTCATAAGTTATTTACTAGTATAGTGAATTTTAAAAGTACTTTTTACTTATCATGTAATTATTTTTATTTTTTTCTCAAAATAAGAAATTATAGTGCAGAATTTTCAATTATTACTATGTAATTTATAAGTTATATAAAATTAAATAAATCTAAAAATTCTTAAAAAATTAAAATAAAATCTCGTTTGAAATTAACTCTTTTCTTTTCCTTTTAGCTTCAATGCGAAGCTGAGAAGGTATTAATTTTACTATGATGTTTTTCAAGAAAACGATTTTCTAGGAAATCATAAAAAAATTAATTCAATCCGTTCATTGTTTTTTTGTTTTTTATTATTGTTTTAATAAAATAGTCTGCCAAAACGGTATTACCCGAAAATCGAATATTCTATGATTATAAATTTATTTTTCTACGTATTAACTTTGATACGAAGCTCAGAAATTATTAATTTTACTATGTGTTTTTTTATTTTTTTTTTCTTGTGTCTATTACCACTATTTCTCAGATCTCACCGGAACGATTTCTTTCAACGATACGTCATAAGATCAAAAATTGTGTCTAGTCGAAGACATTACTATCAAAAATTGAAAAAATTTCCCTTGTTCCCCTTAAATGGGGAAAACCTCCAAAAAAATTACAAATTTAAAAATCGCTAATTTTCAACATTTTTTCAATTTTTTTTACTAAAAGCTGCCGTAACTTTTTCATTAATGAATAAAACAATATAAATTTTTTTTTATAGATGCTTGATGTTTTTACCTATCAAATGGTATTTTTTTTTTATAAATTTAACGCTTTACCAACCCACAGAGGGGGATTCAATATGACAACTTTTTTACAAAAAATTAATTTTTTCAACTTAACTTTTGAAAATGTTTCGGAAAGTCTGACACTTTTATATAAATCTTAAATTAAAGTTAATGTAATGTACTTTATTATGAAAAAAAAAAAATTTGACCTCTGGACTTGTCCTCGTGGTGAAAATGGCTACCAAATGCTATTTTGTGTGAAAATTCTGGATTTTGTATTTTACATTTTTTACTTTAAAATGTTATAACTTAATGAAAAATGTATGGATAAATACAATTTTTTCATGAAAAGTAGTATTTATATACATCTTTCATTCGACATACTGTTTTTTTAATTCAAACCATTTCCCTTAATACAGGAGGGGTTCAAAACATAAAAATGCATATAGAAATTAGAACTTTTTCAACTTAATTTTTTAAAGTGTTCCAGAAATACTGACACTTTTATTGTGAAAATTATGGATTTTATTTTTTACATTTTTAACTTTATAATGCTATAACTTATTGAAAAGTGTATGGACCAACACAATTTTCTTATGAGAAATAATATTTTTTAATAATCTCATTTTCATTCAGGATATTAATAAGAAAATAACAGATTATGTAGCTTTTGGAATTATCCACCAATTTTTTAAAATTAAACACTATCTAAAGATTTGCATCGAAGCGCTTTTTTTTTATAGTGATTTTAATCACTGTCAGATATTATTATATTTGATCCAACTATGCCACGTCACCACTGTGCCGCGACCCCCCTATGCTGGGTTTTTATGTCTTAATAATTGTTTTTTTTTCTTATCCCTTCATTTTCAGAGTAGTTTTTGCCTTCGGGTTTTGTCCACTATTAACTTAACTGTTATAATTTAATAAAGTTCCCTTAATATTTTTAATCAAGAAAAATTTTTACTTTTATAATTATCCCTAGTTTTAAGGTAACTGTCTTCGACATACTAAAGTATGTCCACCACTAACAAAACATATTTTGTTTTATTTACATGCACCAGGATATTATAGTCTACAATAACACTTTATATTTTAATATATATATATTTTTTTTTTATTCAACGATCTATTTGGTTTCATCATATTTTATTTATTTAATTTAATATTATTTGGTTTACTTCTTGTTTAATTTTTTATTAAATCCACTCATCGTCCGGGTGTTTTTTTTTAATCGAGACCCTCACCTAAATGGTTGGCGACTCGACTTTCCTTTTGCAAGGAAGCCATGAGAGTGGCGACTCCACATTCCGTTACGTGGCCCAAGTTGTCACTTCTCAACTTTTTCTATCACTTCTTAGTTTTGATATTATTACTAATTATTAAAAAATGAGTATTTACATATAAAAAAATAATTAAAAATAAAAAAAATTGTTTTTAATTTATTACTGATTTGGATTGTTAATATGTTAAAAATAATCAGTGCAAAATGTCATTTTTAACTAATTTTTTTGTTCCATTAATGTTGATTTTTATGAAAGTTTATAATTTAAAAATTTTGAACATTTAAGCATAATTTTAACTTAACTTGCAAGTTTAAAATTGATAGCATTAAATAGAAAACTTGATGAGGATTTAAATAATGTTACTGTTATGATTAATATGCAGTCAGGAAGTTTTATAATGACTATTAACATATTAAATTTTAAATAAATGCTATAATTGTTTTATATATTTCTTAGTTATATCATAATATATAACAAAAATTAGCGACGAGGATGTTGACCAGAAATGGAGAGGCATATATTGGTCTTGGCTACATGTTTTTCGACCATGTAACAAATGAAAAATAACATTTAAGTTAAACAGTAATTTTATAGTTGGTAATATTACAGAAGTAGAAATGCAATAAGCTATGCTAATTACTTCATTAAGTGATAACACCTTATCACTTTTAGAAAGTTGAGGTGTTCCATCAGAAATTAAAGGTAAATATTTCAATAAACTAGGCACACTATTAGATTAACATTTTACTCCAATTAAACCCTACTTTTTGATTAGAAATACATGTTACACAGCTGAAAAGAATCCAATGAATTCTGTATCTGAATGATGGATAGCTAGAATACGCACTTTAGCGATGCCTTATGGCTTTGGCAGTGAACTTAAAAATTATTTTACAAGACGATTTAATTCAGTAGTTCTCCAATATTCAATAATACGATGATTATTTTGAATTTACTACAATTTTGTCTTATCATCGAATCAACTTTATGTGTCATTGAAAAAAGATAAAATATACATACAAGTTAATTGTTTGCAGTATTTATAGATAACTATGTATGAATATATATGTAGACAATAATGGGAAAAAACTTGAGAATACACTGCAACTGGCAAATATTCTAGGTTTTACATAGAAATTATCAACGTATAAATTGTTAAGTTTTATTTTTATTGTTTTAAATTTTTTTTTCATTTAGTGTATATTCATTCATGTGAGCGTCCAAATTATATTGCTATTGTATCATATGTGATACAATATTATTATTTATTATGTATAGTTATGTATTATTTCAATTTTAAAATAATTATATATTTAATTTTGAAGTACATAAAAATTAAGAAATTAAAATTAATAAAAATCAAACAATTATCATAACTATTATGTCATTGAGTGAATATTCATATATGTGAATGTATTCAATTGTGTTCGATGATAAATAGAGTTTACTTCTAAAGTTAATTACTACATATTAAGAAATAATATTTTTTAAACTCCATCATTTTCAGAAAAATTGATTTTATTTTTTTTGGTTTATTTATTTATTAAAGATTTAAATATTTATTTGGCATAAATAGTGCTATTTTACAAATTGTATTTATATATAGACATTATCAAGAAAAATTCAAACATGTTAGCAAGCATTCAAGTTAATGAACAATTGTTTAAAACTTACATTTTCTACTCGGCTCTTTTNCAGCATTCAAGTTGATGAACAATTGTTTAAAACTTACATTTTCTACTCTGCTCTTTTGGTGTTAAAAGTTTTATTTATGGCTTTACTTACTGCTAGACAAAGGATGATAAAAAAGGTGAAAATTTAATTATATTGCTTTAAATATCATACAATTAATTTCAAACGTTTGGGTATACAAAAATAATCAATTACATGAGTGTTGAGGGTAATTAGAATATTTTTGTTAATCCTTATTTTAAGATATTATTCATTGATTAATAGTATTAATGTATCAATACATATTTACATATTTGACTATAGATTTTATGTTATATTTGATATATTAGTCAGCCTGACTTAGTAGGTAAAAAGTATAAGTAGGCCACTGATTTCAGTTGGAGTATCCAGCTACGCCGGTCATGATATGTATGTTGCAAGAAAAATATCACATCTGAATAAGTGTAACAAAAATTTATTAAAAATGTAATTATTAAAATCAGGATAACTCAAAAAGAGAAAATAGTAAATTGTATTGTGTATAAAGTTGATATTACTGTTCTGGAATATTTACCTGTGGCGCATTCAAAAATCATTTGGGAGGGTATTTAATATTTTTTACTGTGTTAAAAATACTATAAAATTTAAAATCAAAGTGATAAAAAAAAGAGATCTTTAGAGGCAAATTTCTTAGATATCGACCTTAAAAAATATAGAAAACGCTGGTTCAATGGAGTAATCGCCTATATCCTCCATAATTATGACTTTGGTATTCACAATAATTAATAATATAGTTGTACATAGTACAATGCCATGTTAATATTCACAGATAAGTCCCAATTTTTACAATAAACTCATAGACTTGTACATCATATAAGACATAAATAAGATATATATAGATTGTACTGTCCTGATAATGTATGTACAAACTTATATACTAATAACAGTTTTGAAATTTGTATATAACTATCATTTATTTGTAAATATATGTAAATGTAAATAT